ATCGAATTGAGCCGCCTAAGCCACAACATCTGGGACCAGCCGGCAGGGCGAGGCGTTGGCGCAGCGGCGATGCAGAGATTCACGGAGTAACGTCGACTGGGGCGCTTGCGCTGCATGCGTCGACGGTTCTCCAAGTCACATGCTGCACCATCGGCTGAACCTTATTTAAGTGGCTTAAAATATCTCAAAATGTAGAGGATAGCAGAGCATGGGTTATTGTTGGGTCACTCTCACCGCATGGCTGCCTTTCCACTTGTCTGTGGTTCCTAAGCGTTGTGAGATGCCATTTGAGGGGAGATTGTCAATTAGGAGACCAACCCCGCTGATAAATCCCCACGCAGTGCAATCTGCTCCCAGACTCGGCCATGCGTCGTCACCCATTAGTGGCCCCGGCAAGCGCCCCATATTTACAACCACGGCGAGACTCCGCTCTCACCAAACACAAACCACGGTGAGACTCCACTCTCACCAAACACAAACCACGGTGAGACTCCGCACTCACCAAACACAAACCACGGTGAGACTCCGCTCTCACCAAACACAAACCACGGTGAGACTCCGCTCTCACTAAACACAAACCACGGTGAGACTCCGCTCCCACCAAACACAAACCACGGTGAGACTCCGCTCTCACCAAACACAAACCACGGTGAGACTCCGCTCTCACCAAACACAAACCACGGTGAGACTCCGCTCTCACCAAACACAAACCACGGTGAGACTCCGCTCTCACCAAACACAAACCACGGTGAAACTCCACTCTCACCAAACACAATCCACGGTGAGACTCCGCTCTCACCAAACACAATCCACGGTGAGACTCCGCTCTCACCAAACACAAGCCACTGTGAGACTCCGCTCTCACCAAACACAATCCACGGCGAGACTCCGCTCACACCAAACACAAACCCATAAGGATACGTTTGCTTGGTCACTCAGCCGGGTCCACAGACTAGAGTCTGGCAGGTCTGCCGCACCCACCAGAGCCGGGCTGTAATCCGATTGCACAAGTAATCCATTACTCTACCAACTATTGTCTCCCAATGCTCCACTTAAATCTTATAGGTGGGGAGAAAAAGTCCCCCCACCCCCCTCTTTTCTCACGTGTAGCATAAGACGAGGTGATGGGCAGGGCTTTGCGATGTCATCGGCATCACCGACCACGCAAGTCGTGGATTGCTGCAGGGGGTTGCCCGCCATCGGCAATCTAATTCCGTCCCTGTTACACCTGCCCCTCCCCCCACCCCAATTCAATATCCGCCCCTGTGCCACCTCTAGTTGTTTGCGATGTGCACGGGTGAACACTCTTTGGCCTTCCGCTCCGGCCTGGAACACTTCCTGCCTCTTCCTTTCCCCTGGGGCTGCCAAGCATCGGCAGATGCACCGGGTTGCAGGGCTGTGCCCGTCATTTTACATTACAACCCGTGTGCCTGATGGTCCAGACAAGTAGGCTAAGAGACAGCCCAATCATAAAATATGAAAAAGACTTTCAACTGAATAACGAGACAAAGAAAGTCTAAGTGGGTTCACTCTGTCAAATCCAGCAAGTGCTAGAGCTCATCTCACCTTTACAGACAGCAGCCAGCGGTGGAAATTCCACCACTTCCACATTCACTAGACAGAGAAAAGTTATTTTTTTAAAAACTACTCGTGACTTCCCACACGGCGGTACTCAATGTGTGCACCACCACAGAAGAGATGAAGGACTGAGTTGACCCCTGAACCTGTATTTTAGTGCTCAAATAGTCTGATGGCGAGGCAGTCGTTGCACCTACTAGGGTACCTGCCTAGGTATGCAGATGTGTGAGAAGCGTGGGAGGTGAGTGGGTGGGTAGGCAGGCAGGCTGGCAACTGGTCAGGCAGACAAGCAGGTGGGTAGCTAAATGATTATGTGGTTAAATAAGTGTGTATATGGCCGAGTAGGTAGATTGGTGAGTAGGCAAGTGTGTAGGCAGGCTGAGAAGTAGCTGGACGAGCAGGCAAGTAGGTGAGCGAGTAACTATTTGCAAGCGTGTAGGTAAGCGAGTTGGTTAGTTCATTGGTACGTGGTTAGGGCAAGCAGACAGATAGGTAGGTGGGCAAGTAGGTAAGCGAGGACGAGGTGGGCAGGTCGGTGTCTATATATGTAGGCACTGGCAATCAGTCGTTAAACCAGATTCCCATTCAAGATTATTAGGCCGCCACGTGGCTAAATCTAGGCCACGCATATATTAATTGATCAGATCGCACTGTGCCAAGGGAGAACAGCCACATGACCATACACACAACTGCGTAGTATTCACACATGCCAATAACACAGCCACGTTTCACGCACACCAATTACAAAGATTCGCCTAAAGCCTACAAACTGTTGGTGCAAATTCTGTTAAGCGGGCACCTTTTAAAGCCGGCATGGCGCACGAGGGTGTGATGTGGTCACCACCACGCCCGAACGCATTTGTCTTACCAGTGCTGATGTTTACACACCATGCCAGGTACTCATTGAGGGCTTAGTCAACCTAAGCAAGGCTTAGTGCCAATTTCCATGAATGGGAATCAAACGGAGGTCGCCAGGATGGTATTGCAGTGCCCTACCATACAATAGTTCTCACCGGGATAAACACATTTAACTTGAATACGCACACACACACTCGTGCACACGGACAGCCCTCAAAATCAGGCAATACGTTCAGATCTATGTATTAATAGGTGCTCGCTAGCAGCACTTATGGGTTATAATACTGGCAAGTAAACACGGGGGTCCTCCTGATACGTATTCGTTTGCCTACCCGTCTTTGTCTTACTCCCAGCTCACGCAGTCATCGCCACACTATACTGAACCGTACTAAATTTAGGCCGAATGGACCTAGGGGAGGCAACAGAGAAATTGTATTCAAATTGCTGGTTAATATGAAACTAATATATTGCACTGTACACTCTACTCATTTTAGGCCGAGCTGACCTAGGGGAGGCACGGAACAATTTTTATTTAAATCGCCAGCTGTAAATTTGACACCGCAGCCAGGAGTCAGGTGACAGTGCACTGACCACACTACCACCGTTCCCAGAGCGTACAGGCCACACGTACACTCGGGTCAAAAGCTCACCAAGGCCATCGCTTCCTTCCTTCTGCCCGATCCCACAGACGTCTCAAGCCAACGTCAGCAGCCACAATCCAACCACTGCTGGACGAAAGCCTCCTCCAACGAGACGTCGCAATCGCTCACAGCGATCCGCGGGGCGCCTGCACGAGGATTCCGTCGCTCCGTCTCCCACGGCGGACGTCCGTCCCCTCGGGAGGATCTCCACCTTTGGCTGCCACTCCGTCGCTAGTCTCGACCACGTGGCCAGGCTCCACTTCCCCCAACGGCGGTCAATGGGATGGATGGCGTAGAGAGAGAGCCACGTCTCGTCAATGTGCTCCCAAGCATATAGCGGCGTAACGACACGCATGTAATTACCACATTGTTCGCAGGGCCAGCTGTCATCCACGCCCTATGTAGCTACATAGCAACACACGCTCGGTGGCTCTCACATAAGGACAGATACACATACCCCGCACGCACACACGGCCATACGGCAGCACACATGTATGCACACATGACTCACATTCCCATACATAGACTCACTCAAATACAGCATGCAAACAGAACATAGTACAACACTATATACTTACACATGCACGCATATACAGATACACAACACACAGCGCGCACACTATGTAGTCACCTAAGGCCAAAGAACCACAAAGACTCCATACAACACGCCGTACACACATGTTCATGTTAAACTTAGACTTGTCGGCGTCCATATGCAAAGCTTCCCCCGTGTAGCCCGAACAGACTGTAGGGGCAGGTGCCGTGAGCGAGAACACATGGAGGCCGGCACTGTGGCACACGAAGGGGTGGGTGGCAAAGCAGCCCGAACCAGCCGCCTTTGTCTACCCAGTGATTGACGAACCACGGGTTCCTGTCACTCGCCACGGGTTCCTGTCACTCGCCACGGGTTCCTGTCACTCGCCACGGGTTCCTGTCACTCGCCACGGGTTCCTGTCACTCGCCACGGGTTCCTGTCACTCGCCACGGGTTCCTGTCACTCGCCACGGGTTCCTGTCACTCGCCACGGGTGTTCGCCGTGACCGGGAATTGAACTCGGGGGTGACTGCGTTGCGCTAACCACTGCGCCACCGTTCCTCGCCCTCGAGATTCTAGCACACAGCCCGAATTAAATACACAGCCATGCTTCGAGACTAAGATGTTCCCGATAGCCTTTAGCATGTTGGGGCAAGTGGCTAGCTAATACCTATTAAGGCCGGAAGGGTACACGAGTGGGTGGGCAATACCGCGCCCGGCCGCCTTTGTCTCCCCAGTGGTGTTGATGTTTACACGCCGCACAGGACCGGGATTTTAGATATTCGTCACCGTTCTTGGCCGTGAGCGGGGATGGAAGTCCCATCGCCGGCTTCCGATTTCAGTGGTTAGAGCAGCGCTAAGCATTGCGCCACCGCTCCTCACATACTTATAAATAAACACACGGACAAAGACGCACACAGACACATAGACAAAGACACATACAGACACATCGACACACACATAGACAACATCCATAGACACGGATACAGACTGCGCATTGAGCAAGCGGACGAGCAGCTCGCGACGCGTACCACGTTGCACAAAGCTCCCCCGTGTAGCCTCTAACAGGCTGCCGGGGCAAGTGCCGTTCCGGTACACAGGGCTCGAAACCAGAACTACGCCCGGCCGCCTTTGTCTCCCCTCCCCCCAGCGACGGTGTTTATTTACTACACACCGCACCTGGTACGGTACTCGTTTTAACGTCCGAGTCGACCTACGTGCAGAACGTCACACGCAGGCGGCAATGCTCCGTCACTCCCCGACGTGGCTGAGTGGTGTTCCACTCGTAAACTACCTACGGAGTGAGGTGTACACGCACGTAGGAAACACGGCGGATGGAGTGCGCACAACCTCGTCCGTCCCACCTCGTCGCCCCATTCATTCCCCTACCTCGGTCGGTCTCCCAGCAGCGCAGCAGCAGCAGCCCTCAGCTCGTGGCCGCTCCTCGTCGGCAAGTTCCGTCAACACGAGCCGCTTCGACAATCTCCGCCGACACTCGCCGAAATTATCACGAAGGCGTTCGGCAATTTCCGGAGGAGATGGCCGAGCTGCGCCCGAAAGGCGTTCGGCAATCTCCGTCAACGCTCGGCGGGTTTCACACGAAGGCGTTCGGTAATTTCCGTAAGAGCTGGCCGAGCTGCACCCGAAGAGCGTTCGGCAATCTCCGCCAACGCTCGGCGGGTTTAACACGAAGGCGTTCGGAAATTTCCGGAGGAGTTCGCCGAGCTACACCCGAAAGACGTTCGGCAATCTCCGTAAACACTCCGGCTGGTTCAAGACGAAGGCGTTCGGCAATTTCCGGAGGAGCTCTCCGATATTCCTTGCGATTACGTTTGACTGCCAATCTCAGCTTTACAATCGCTTTGCTCTCCCGAAAGGGCGGTTCGGCAACGTTCGGTAATCTCCGGCCGTGCGCCCGTCGAGTTACGTCGCGCTCGCGAAAGGCGGTTCGGAAATGCTCGTGTGTCACGCGCCGAGTCGCGGCCCGAAGGCGTTCGGCGATTTCCGGCAGCGCTCCCGCCGAGCTGACTCGAGGGTGTTCGGCAATTTCCGCGCGTGGGGCTGTGGGGCTTGGACCAACAGGGAGGAGCAATCATGATGATGTATTTATCCTGGAGGAATCCGATGAGCTATAAAGCTCTTTTTAGCATAGGTTTCAGTGGAGGCTGGTCGAAACGTAACAACAAATAATACAAAATACGACATGAGTACAAATTATGGATAAACAAATCACTTTAAAACCCTACAAATAAAACAAAAAAATGTGTTTAACTTGCGAGGTGAGGCCCACTGAATAATGATGAGGTGGGGCGCTGGTTGAATGTCGGGGTCGGGCGGTTCGCGTTGGGATGGACCGGGGTTGGTCGATCCCCGCATGCCTCACTCGCTTTGTATCGTGGCCACCATGCTAAACTTATTGCAATGATTTCGCCGTCAGCCGTGATCGACCTGCTGTTTGATGATGGATGGCCTCTTCCACATCGTCACATCGCCACACGGTTGCTGTGATGCCACGCGACCTGATTCCACCGCTCCATCTCCGCGGAAGATGTGAGCCCTCGGGAGAGCCCTCGAGGGCTGCCCACTCCGCCGTCACGAGTCGCGACTCCACGGGCCCGCTAGTGACATCGTCTACTCAGCCAAGGACGAAGAGGCATCGATTAGAATAACATCGGTAGTATCGAACACTCCGCGGTTTGAATGAAAGCATCGATATTCACTAGAAGTTTGGAATTAAATCAGCGATGTTTTTTCCATTTTCGATGTGAAAAAATTAACAATATACAGTGATTTAAAGCTTTCGTGACTGCAGGGATTCATATTCTTGGTTTTTGTTTCCCTTCTACGTGACTTTACCGAAAGAACCAAGAATATAATATACAGTGCTGCAAAGGGACATTGTCCGAAACGTCGCCTATTTTATATTTCCGCAGATGTTTGTATTTATTTATACGAAAGCAATGTAAAAAATTCAACACCAATATTTATTTTCAAATAAAATGTTCAACCAAAGTCAAATAATACATCTAAACCGCATGGCTGTTGTAGGGTCAACAATGAATCATCAGCAAAGGGACGCCGACCGATTAATATTCACTTCCACCCTCGATAGTCGACAATTGACCCGTCAGGAGCAGTCTCTTTTTAAATCAAGGAACTTCAAACGGGCGGCGGCGGGGTCGGCGTTTAGTTTTGGTGTGAAATACATCGGAACCGAAACCACAACGTTCCAATGTGAGAGGCACCAACATCGATGCCAAAAGATCATGCTGTCTCAAGGCTCTAATTCGTGATTTACCGATCATCAACTTCCTCTTTACCGCTTTTATCCTCCGATCGTTGTCAACTTCTTCTGTTGCTGTCACGTCCACCCTCACTATTTTGCGTTTCCCTCCTCGTCCGTTCCCCCCGTTTGAAGCCCACTCCTTCTGTCGTTTAGAGCGAGAAACTTCTCTGCGTGCATTTCCTACCTTCTATGCGGCGTCTGTTACAATCGTCTGCTTTCTATCGTGAGAGTGGTGACATCCATTTGATCATTTCTGCTTCTCGAGGGATTTGAATGCGTTGCTGAGAATCTTTTCTGAATTCTACCATCTCCTGTACTAGATTTTGTATGTTAATTACCTTGTTATTGCCTGTACCGTAATTAACTTGCATTCTCTCGGGCATTTTTGGCGAGCGTGACCTGCGTCTCACCACCATCGTGCAATCGCTTATCTTATCTTGAATTAGCCGGGCGGTGGTCGCTATGCACGTGGCTTGTAATCCAACACTGTGGAGGCAGAAAGGGTTGGTGTGAAACTCCCTTCCTGTGGGCGTCGGTGTGCTATACCCTGGTTCGCCAGGAGACGGCAGTAGAGCAAGTGGACTAATCGCTATCTATTTCGCTCTGTACGGGGATAGAGCGTTGTCCCCTCACGTGCGTGTTTTTTTCTCCGAATGCTCCGGTTACCTCCGACTTGTATAATGAACACGCATTCATGAATCGTCTGCTTGGCACCTTCATTTAAAAAAGAAAGGTGCCAAGCAGAGGAATTGCTGACATTCTGGTGTTTTTCCGTAAAAGCAAGGTAATTTTTGTTTCTAATGCCTCAATTTTGTCTCCTCCACATTCATTATCTGGACAATTTTTTGAATAAAGTGCTAAAGATCATCTTCACATTCCTGCTGAATGCAAATTCTGACATATCCTCTCTTCTCTCTCCCGCGCTACACTGAGCAACGATCCTCTCCTCTCAGCTCCCCTTCCCTCAGTTTGTATTTAAGTCTCCCACTAATGATGCAGTAGGTTTAACCACTATTTACAAATGTGAAAATGTCTTCATTTATTTGTTAAAATAACACGACCCACAGCATGTGCTATGAACAAGGACCATTGCATAAAATATCGCCCATATATATTGTTTTATTTTAAGGCAGTTCTATGCAGTTCTCGTGTATGTAAGAAATGTTTTGGAGCTCAACGCAAATGTAAAGGTCTGTTAGCCACGTGAGGGATATAGGAAAGCGTCCGTGTCCTTTTGCTGTTCCTCCATTGAAGGAGCACAGACCACAGTGGTTGACTTTGTGCTTGTGGTCCAGAGTTTGGGTTGCGTGGCTACAATCTCACCACTGTGGCTTGTCATTCATGAAGGAGACGTGCGCATCGGGCTGTTGATATCATAATGCGGTTAATGGCTCCACTGGTGTCCTTGAGGAGGTGTTTATTCTGGACGTCCGCATTGTTCCACGATGTTCGCACAACAGAAGCAGCGATTTTCTGGATATGGGTGAGATTCTAGGATGGTGACTGCAGTGCGATCCCAGAAGGGGGATTTGGGACTTAAGTTGGCAGCCAGGTACTTTGTTGAGGTCTTGGTTGATGGGCAGGTGGTTGTCATTCAACAAAAGACGTGTAAACTCCCTTGCAGTTTGAATGCCACTGTGGATATTTGGTTGCACAATGTTTGCCAGAACAGGTAATTTTATTTGCGATTATATTGAGTTTTTTTGTTTATATAAAAAGTGATTGTGCACCATTGCCAATGCAGCAGCATCACCTGATAATTCGTTTCAAATATTTGGTTTCCTTTGCATTTTCATTCATTGTTGTTGGGTCGCAGTTTCTTGTGATCAACAGTTTTATTGTGCTCTGATGTTACTGAATAATCAGTTTCTATCCACGTACGGCGATTTATAATTTAATAGACTACACAAAATAACCAGCATCGTGTTGCAGAGACTATAAGTAACACAATACATAATCAATGTATCTCCTTCCCATATACTGTATGGCAGCATTGTGTAATGCTGTTTATGACCAACGAAAGAAAATGCTAATCTTCTGTGGGCTCCTCTCTGCTCTTGGAGTAGAGTCACCGCCCACACTGGTGGCTTGTTATAGGCCATGGGCCAAGTTCACATTTTAATTTAGTGACTAAAATGCATCACATGACCTCGGCAATTTTCTCCATTTAGTTTGGAGACATCGGCGCAAACTTTCACCGGAAAATTAGACCTCAAGAGAAAAATTCTCCACGGCCCCAGATATTTTGGTTTCAACTTAAAAGGAAACGTTCATGATTATTGACGACAGCGGTGAAATATTTATCACCCTTAGCAACCGCGTTGCTCTCAGTACAGTCCCCCCCCGCCCCGCATTTGTGTTTCGAGGTAAAGGAGTCGTGTAATTGAATCATCCCGCTGCCATTGCATGATTTAGGGAGCTGCGAATGCCAGAAACGAAAAGCGGCCAAAGCTGAAAAGGTCACCCGTTTGGATGAGGAGGAGGGGAGCAACCATGCCGTGGAGCACGCTAGCCACTCAAATTGTATCTCTACCACTTAGTTTTTTACCAGTTGGGCTGTGTATATATCTCATGTAATTTCAGGTTGAAACGCATGTCGTTTAGCATGATCTGGACATAACGCAAAAAATAAGTAACAAGCCAACCAGCCACTACCGTTAACCCACGGTGGCGAGATATTATCTCCCTCGACTTGTATGCAGGAGGTCGTGAGTTCCATCCTGACCCTGACCCCTATATATATGGAGTTTGGATGTTCTCCATGTGGTCGTGTGGATTTTCTCCGTGTCCTCCGGACCCTCCACATTTAGAAACATGCGTTTAGAGTATTGGCTGCTATAAATGTCCACGTGATAAGCCACTTTGTTGAGCTATCATTTGTGGCCAGGTCGCTTTTGAAAAAGCGCTATATAGCTCAGTGGGCCTTACCTGGTAAAATAATGTAATAGTTAACGCTCCCACTGACTCTAGCCCTAACCAACTAGCCAACAGCCACTATCACGAGCTTCCCGCTGATCCTCATACGAACCCTTAACCTTACCTCTGCGCCCCCTGTTCACATTTTGTTAATTTGAATTTTTTTGTGCGATCACATTTTTCTTGGCCACAAACCCCTCTTGTGGCCGATGGGGTGGTGGTATTAGAATCGATCTTCACATAACACGATGTAGCTCTGCTTGTCAATGGTAATTTATGAGTGAAAGTCCCATAAATGCCCTAACCCTGTGCCCTCCATTGTAAAGCTATCTCCTCTGCTAATCGGCGAGCCCAAAAAGAGAAATCTCGTGCCAGCAAATTGTCCAGCCATGTGTAATTACTCATCTAAATAATTCAGTGACATTCATCGCAGGAATACAAAGAGGTTTAGGACTGTCCGCATCAGAAACAAAAGGTTATAAATAGGAGGTGATGTGAGCCGTAGAGTTTTATGAATCTGACCTATGCCCAGCGCACGGCATCAATGCCAATCTAACAGGACCAAAACCCTCAATTTAACGGTATTTCGACATGTTGGGACAAACCCTGTTAGCGAGCACCTATTAAGACCAGTATGCCACACGTGAGTAAGGTAGTGGTCAGCGCATGCGACCAGTTCCACGCCCGGCAGGATTTGCCTCTTTTAGGGCTGTGTGTTGACAATTCAACACACGACACCAAATACTAATTTCAGGCTGAGTGGACTTAGGGTGAGGCTCATACTTAATGAAGATTCTGTTGGTAGTGTTTTGCAAGGACAGAATTTGAACTGAGGTTGCCGGGATTGTA